CTGATATTTCAACAGGTGAACATTTCTCCCTAGTACTGTTGATAAAACTATGAAATATCTTCAACAGATAATACCACACCTCTTTATGCCACTAATGCTTTGCCTCCCTGTCCCTCCCCCAAATGTCCACCCTCAGACCCTCCTCTTTCACACACACTATAATGGGGCAATGTTCAAACTTAATTTTTACCTCTAAGACGATGGAAATTTGCTTTGTGTTGTTGTAGAGGTTTTCAAAACTAGCGATTCTAAACTCCCAGGAGGATTCTATTAAGTGCCTGCTGTTTTACTGAGATACTCGATACATGCATGCTTGTGTGCTGTAATGATGTCCTGACCACATTTTCTGCATGAGCAGCAGCCGTTCCTGCGCTGGTGCTCAGGATGGAGAGTTAAAATTAGTGGCAGCTTAGTTTAGCCGTACTCTGGTTAAAATACAAGGAAATTAAAACCCACAGTATGTAGGCTTTTGGTTAATAGCTGCTACCAACAGAGCCTATCTGTGTTAGTAGGCTCCATAACCAAGAGACAAACACCTACTGTATTCTTCGTATCATGGCTGTGAGATATTATCTAACCACCCCTTGAGGATCTCCTGGCTGACATATTAACTGAATTACCCAAGGTGAAACACCTAGCTAAAAGAAGAGTCAGGCTGGACCTCAGTCTGTCTGATCCCAAAGTCCCTGCCATATCGTCTGTGCACAGTGATCCACGGCTGTCTTCAGATTCGTCTGGTTTGCTTTGTTTGACTTTCATCTTTTCTGTATGATTGCAAACCTTATGTATGACATTGTGCTGACTCGATAGCCAGCATTTTCATAGAGTCTACAAAAGAGAGAATGGCAAGCAGCTATAAACTGTCTCCCCTGAGAGACTAAAGCTGGTGCTAAGTCTTTTATCCTATATGACTTCTGTGGCAACCTCTGGGGTTCCATATGGCATTAAGGGTCGTCATGATGCCACAGCCTAGTGGTTAAGAAAGCTGGAGTCTACATTTGGTTCAAATCCCAGCCCCAGTGGCTTGAAAAACATGCATGTATATGCATACCAAAATCCTGACAGGATGGAGACATGGAGGAGGAGGGATTGTACAGTGACCACATCCCACTGGATGCTTTCTGCCTCTCTCTCAGCAAGCACCTGAGCCCTATGAAAAAAAAAAATAAAAGTCCTCCTCTGAGGTTGATTGACTGCTCTAAGGTCCAGCTTCACATAA